AAATACTTTAATTTGTGAGGGCATATATAGTATGTATATAAAGAATTGAAACAAAGAAATGATTAAGAAGAATACTGATGCATATGCATAAAATTTAAAATGTTTGAATTCTACGTATTTCACATTAACGTTTTTTATTTGATATCCTACATGAAAACTTTTTTATTGTGGTAAAATATGATGATTTTTTTTCAAGAAAGATTGATTGTTTATTTGTTTAAGTCTTAGGTCATCGAGGAACGAATGTTTGAAATTAAAACAGAGAAAAAGTATCAATAGAGTAAATGATAAATTAATTGAAATGTGGAGTTATAAAAAGAAATCAAATATTAGGAGAATGTAATTTATGTGTTCGATTTTATATTTATTAAAATCGATATTTAAAAAAAGTTTTGCAATAATAAATAAATTTATTGTTTTGAAATTACTTAATAAATTAATAAACTCATTTATTTTTTTATTCATATATTTATCAATTTATTTATTTTTTATTTATTGAATATATCTTTTTATTATAAATACGCTTACGTTACTTGTACTGTATGAAGTATTAGTTTATTCTTCACATTTTTACCTTATTTTTTGCATCAAATATATTGTTTTCAAAAACAATAAAAGATAACAAAATATAAATAATTTTATATTTAAAAAGATGGTATTTTTATTTCATGAATTAAAGCAACATTCCGCTACAAAATTCACAGGAATATAATGTCCTGTTCTAATGAAACAAAAAAATCGCTGTCTTTTTTCTTCGGGGGAGGGGGGAAAAATTTTTAGTTTTCAAAGATTGACTTTTACATTATTAATAATTTGAATTAATTCATGGTAAATTGTCAGTATTTTTTTTTCTAAATGCAGCGGTAAGTATATATATATCTCAGTGTCAAACTTAATATTCGGTCTTCAATGATTGTTATTTTAAAATTGATTTTCAGAAGAAAAGCCGATCAGCCAACCAGATTTATACACAAATTAACAGTGTCCACCACTCCCGGGTTAACTTAAACAGGAAACTATACATACATAACGTATACTGACAGATTTTGATGATCAATTATTTTTACAAAAGTTAAATTAGACGGAACCATATAACATATTAAAAATTATAATTCATTGTAAAAGGACAATTAATTTGATACCCGTTATGATACAAAAATAATTTTAACTGAATATGATATTCTAAAAAAAATTTTTGTAAACGCAACCAGGTAACTCTTACCGTATGCAAGGATTGTCAATAAATTTTAGACACAAAAACCGTTAATAACCGCAGCATATTTAAAAATAGTAGGATCTGGGTTTTTTTATCTTTCTCCTTCAATGATAGATTTTTGTGTTTTATTGCACCCCAGAGGACCGGGCTGCTCTATACATATAAGTTTAAGTGTTGGTGTATGGGGATTTGGGTTGGAGTAGTTATTAAGAATTAAAGGTTTTCTAAACATTGAAAAAAATGTTAATCAGAATGTACTTTCCGTTTATAAATTACGAGATTCATTATAAATTTACTTCTATAAAATGAATCTGCGAAAATATATGTTTTCCATATTGAACATATTAAGTTGCTTATCATTTACTGTCAAAAAAAAACGACAGGTCCCTTTTTTTAGAACATCGAATTTAACTTATCCCAAAAAACGTACTCTGCACACGCAGTTCGTGTTTTATATTCTAAAATTAAAAATTAATACATTTTTGAATATAGGTGGTGCATGTGTCAAACTTCAATTTATATTTCATATTTTATGCAGCCAACATTTACTTGAGGAATTGATCAAGTTAAAAATGGTATGGTTTTTTTTTTAATTTATATCCGACTATAATTTTTGAAAATATTCGCGATTTTTGTCTCCATCAATTAGACGCATGCCTTTTCACACATATCGAAGCGGGTTGATGATCATGTTTACTTTATATTTTTCCCGGGCGACAATTGATGGTTACATCAATGTTTTCTTGTCTATAATTAATTTAGTTCCGATCATAATTCAAAGCATAAATCTTCGAATAACAGGGAGAAAAATTCATTTCATCGATATAAATGCGGAACTGAACGGTTTAGAAATATCAATGTAATATAAAAGCCTTTTAAAAAGATCTATAAACAAAATTATTTATCTTTTGATTAATAAATGAATTCAAAACTTTGGTAACGTACAACAAAAGAAATACTTTTAAAAGTCCAATGTCCAAATTTTGGAAAATAAAGGTTTAATATTTTCATATAAAAATATAAGCGCTGATATCTCAATGGTTAAGGCGTTCGCCACCTACTCTGAAGGTCAAGGATTCGCGCCTTGCTTGTGGCTATTTATTTTTTTAATTTTGTTATTTTTTTCTTTATTTTTACCAAATCAGAATGTGCGTAAACTGTACATTTATAATTTTGATAATATATCACTATGAAAATAATTTTTCACCCATACAAACAATATAATCGACTGCGTAATGGTTGCTTAATGTTAGCTTAATGGTAGCTTAATGAAGTTTGACACCTGTAAGTTTGGCTTAATAGTAGCTTAATGGTGACTAAATGGTGGTCTAAATGCTACCATTAAGGACCTGTTAGCCACCATTAAGCTACCATTAAGTTACATTTAAGCACCCATTAAGGAGTTTGAGATGACTTAGTGGTAACTTAATGGTGGTGTAAATGTTACTTAAAGGTGCTTAATGGTGACTTAAAGACAACCATTAAACCATCATTAAGGACCAGGCTTAAAGGCTGTGTTTCATCTTGTGTAAACTGCGTGGTATTGTAGTTCTGTTAGCGTTTTTATTAATGGAAATTTCGCTATTAATAGAAGTCACTTGATGCCGTGGTGGTGGTGCACGTCGTTGCTTTAGACACCCTTTTAGCTTATTCAATAGATAATGATACTTTACGTTTATCAGCGGTTTTTGTCAATTATCAAACTTAATTTTCTATAGAAAGTCTAAAGACCTAAAGCCACGATGTACCTAAATCCGCCCTGCCACAAAAATAATGAAATTTTATTCCGTGAAAATTTAGAATTTGTGGGTTATGACACAATTTATTTTTTAATCATAATTTTTTAATAATAGCTTTCCACATTGCAATGCATAAAAGAAAGGGAGGTCAACATTACCGCTACATTGCCAAAAATTTCAACTTCATCAGATGATGAAGGTTAATTGCTGAATAAGTAAGGGAAGTAAGGGAAGTTGACGATGAAAAAGTTAAAGCGATCACGTTTGTCATAGAACTTATTTGTTAGATTACCATTAACGTCTTTTCCCAGTAAAAATATTTATACACTGTAAAGAAGGAGGACGACGAACAATTTAATTTTACATATTACAATTCTTATTAAATAAAAAAACACGCGCCCACTACAGCTGTAATGCTTGAATTAAACTTCCTTTTGAGTCTGGTAATTTCATACATGAATGAGAGTTTGTTCCACGTAATAGTAAGATCATATGAAAAAAAATCTTCGTCATGAAGAATGGGCGGAGAAGATTTCTCTTCATATGATCTAAATGACTTTGAACAGAACCTCAGCCAAACAAATGAATGGATTAAAAATAAACTCCTCCACAACTTGCCCGCTCATTGTACATATCGAGCACGCTATCACTATCGAACACACTCGGTTTCAGAATGGACTCCAACCCATTCAGGTTAGCACGGGATTATATGAAATAGCTTGATTCAGGAACGTAGCGGAGGGGGGGGGGGGGTCCAGACATAACTTTTAAATTTACTATCGAAAATGTTCTTTGAATGTTCATTGAAAGGCTGACCTGCCCCCCCCCCCCCACACACACACACACAAACACACACACACACACACTTTTTACTACAGTACATGTATATGAATATGAAGGCATTGTTTTGTACGGGGGAAAATGGAACTGGAAAAAATTGGTATTGAAAAAAAGTCCAAAAACGATGGTATGGGGAAGATATTAAAGCTACTGAACTAATGAATACTCTTGTAACAAGAACCTATATTTTTGAAAAATAATTGTATTAAGATGACAAGACCCTTGTCAGCAGGAGTGGGTATCGCTGTTTAGGGTCAAATACAAATTTGATAAAAATTGTGACTTAAATCTGCAATCAAAGACAAGGTTCATCTTTGATGTACATGACGATGGTTGTATTTTCTGTATGTACCGAAATGTGAAAAAAAAAATAATATTCAGAAAGACAACAAAAGATTACACTGGAAAAATATTGTAGAAATGCCTAGAAAGTTTAAATATCATTGTAAACAGCACGTGGCTTTGAATAATTTCTTTTTGTGTGCTAAACAAAAACCAATGAAAGCACACCCATATAACTGTCAACGTAACCAATCAGACACCGTTAAATATTTCAGAAATAGAAGAATTCTTCACCATGAAGAATCGATTCTTCAAGAGAAATGGAAGCATTTGATTGGCTGAATAAGTAGGTTATGTTCTAACTGGATTATGAACCGGTTTTGTAGGCCTTTTGTTAACTTCAAAACAAGGTCGCATAAGGTCAGTCAAACGTGTTGTAAACAAATCGATCGATACATCTATACTTGACTTTGACTCCGACGGATTTTTTTGTAAGCATGATGCAAGATCTTCAGAATTCTCAATTAAAGCTGACCTGGCTTGGGAAAACAAATTCTGGTTCCAGACGAACTGCAAAGAAATTTGGTTTTCACTCTCACTATGCACAATCGAGTTACATATAATATTTTTTTATTTAAATCTAAGATGAAGAGGCGCATGATCTGAATACATGTTAAAATTTGCAACAATAAACTGATCAATTTGTGGAAATACATCAGGAGTAGTTATAACATAATCTACAACACTAAACACGCCCAATCAAAATTCTCAGCCCACTACTTTTACAAAGTGATAATAATTTGTTACCCAAATCATTAACGACCAAATCAGGGTTTGTTCTACTTTGAATACGTGTGTCTACGCCATAAAATAAAACTTCGCTTACTTCTTTCAAAACATCATTATGTAATTTATCATGCATTATGGAATCATTTGCGCTTGCTGTCCTTGCATTACTGTCAGAATCAGAAGCGGCCAGAAGAAGTTGTAAAAATAAAGAACAGTTAGGGTTAGAACAGATTGGAAGTAATCCTTTTGAATTCTTGGTGTAGTAAATCTAAAGAAAATTGGGAGACCGGGTTATAATATTTCTTTACCTTGGCCAGAAACTTTAGCGAACGCCTATGACAAAGCAAAATGCAGTGGGACGACCATTTACATATCTTTTAAATAGGCATGTGGAATAATATTATGTGAACATGATATAAATATAATATAAATTGCATATACGAGGGGCATTTCAAAAGTTCTGGCAACTGTTTAATAAAAGATTTACCCTTTTACGGAAATTATTGAGTTTGATATCATTGGAAAGATCAGAAAAATATACACATATTGTGACGTCAATTTATAATTTTTATGACGTAATAAATCCGAAAATGACTTCAGAATATAGAATGTTTACCATACTGACAATAAAAATGACGTAACAAAAGACACAATTTGATCAAATCAAAATTTTCAAGAAAACTTTTGCTCATTACTCGGACGCAAGCCGAACGCAAGTGCCAGTTGGTGGAATGTTTACATAGACTACAATTTATCATATGGTATTCTACTTCGGAGATCTTCTTGTTCTGAAATGGTTTTAGCGAGTGTCAAAATTAGCATGGTTTTATCGAATCTCGCTCAAACTTTTGCGTAAAGGCGACCTAAATGTGAGAAAAAGACAAAGTTGACAATCAAAGAAAAATAGGCGATCGTGTTACAAACTTAGATGGCATAAATTCGTCAGGTGTTTTAACCAGATTTGTGGGATCGATGAAGGCTCAAGAGAAGTTAAGTTTAGTGTGCCCAATATTTTCTCGTAAAATCCAAAATGGCGGCGGCGCCGTTGTAACCCCACCGTACCTCCACATATTCGCAAATTTTAATGCATGGAAAAGAAACCAGACTTTACATGTCTGAGTAACTTATATTCATTTTTTGGATTCAAAAGTCAAAAGCAGTAGTGAGTTTTGGGCCGCCGAAGTTGAATTTATATGAAAAAATACGCACAGAATCCAGTCGGGGACAAGATTTAGTACAGTTTATTCGTAAACGATAAGAGTCCTGTAACTCAAAATATATTTGATGAAAACTGCATTAATATACTTCAGTTTAATACAGAACATGTTTTATTTCAAACAATGGAGAGCTATATAAAAGACCGAAAAGTCAGCTGTATCATGTAAATAAAAATTTTTAATGAATGTCTATGATAGCAAAACCGGACATAAACTGTGCTCGTAAACAAACCATACAATGAATAATGGAATTGCTGATAAACAATATCATAGTCCTACTCTACCTCTTTTCAAATTAAAATTTTCTTTGAAATATTTTTTCAAATAAGCCTTTGACAGAATTTTTACGATCGTCTCATGTGGATAAAAACGCGACTTTTCAGTATGCTTTACATTCTATATTCTGACGTCATTTTCGGAGTTATTACGTCATAAAAATTATAAAGTGACGTCACAATAAGTGTATATTTTTCTGATCTTTTCAATGACATCAAAATCAATAATTTCCGTAAAACGGTTAATCTTTTATTAAACAGTTGCCAGAACTTTTGAAATGCCCCTCGTATGTTTGAAATGGTAATTTTGATTTAATAATTTCTGAAATATATTATTAGTTAGAAGTCCTTGTTTTTCTTTGACTACTATAGTAAATGTACTTAAAGAATTTATTTAGAAAATATTTATTGTTGTTTATTTTCGTTTTCTTAGATAAATCACCGACATATATGTATGCCATTTAAACAGAGATTGTAATTGATATGCTCATTTTTTTTACAGGAAAACTTTTACATCTCCGAATTAGAATGGATGAAGTGATTTGTGACAACCCTCTTGATAAAGATACAAGCGATGACAGTGATGTACAAAAAGAAAAGGTAAAATTTAATTGTAATCATTAAAAAAATACTGCAAGGTTTCATGGGTAACATGTTTCAATTCTCTAAATTAAAATCACAGCGATACTTCATTTAGCACAAAACATAGTTTTCCCTTAAACATTAATGTCAGGATAAAATATAACCTAGCCTGCTACATAGCTGCTACACGAGTCGCATATCACAGTGATAAAGTTTTCTTTAAGAAATGACAAAATATATTTTATAAATGCCTTACTATTTGAACTGAAACGGAAAGTATCATTGAAAAGAACGATAATCTTAAAATAAAAACAAAAAACACTCTGCCCATTGAACGAGGGCATTACATTCATGAATAATAAACTTCATATTTATTTGTTTCATGATACACGTAGATGTATTATTTAGCGATAGTTACATTGTTTGACATCTTTTTGGTTAACGTTAGTTACATATGTAAGTTTTTCGCTGATTTGTAAGCTAAATGAATGATGTAAGTATTCTTTAAGGTATTCAATGTGTAATGAAGAGATTTTGAACGATTTTAAATAATTGTAATCAAGTTAAGGACGTTGGATCTTGGATTTTTAAGTGAATTTTGGTCATGTCCATTATTTATAAAATTCTGCATCATTTTTAAGTTCTAACATTTAATATGAATTCTACAATGTTAATTGAACAATATTCAATGAAAAAACTGCGGTTAAATCCATTTAAGTAGAATTAAACTAGGGACTATATTTTGTGGCGGAAGTGATCAGTTTTTTCCCCTTTTGAACTACAACAGTACTTTTAATTTTGGATTCCTATTGCTCCATGCTGGTTGCACACAAAGCTGTTTTTTGCAAGGAAATGTGTTAAGCTAGTTCTGAAATAGCTATTGAATTATTTCGTATGAATTCTTTCAACAAAGTGTGACATATATAGTAAATACATTCTGAAAACCCGGGAAAAAAATTAGTCAATTTTAACGTAAAATTGACACTTTTTTAGTAATATCTGAAAATTTACATCATATAACCCTACTTTTGACGTTCTTTTCTAAATATTCAAGATACCTTCGACCTATTTGCTTAAATTCAGAAAAAAGTTTAAGACTTCAAAATAATTTTCTTGATTATTAAATTTTCAATGCCGGAAAAATCACATTTAATTACTGCAGAAAGGTAAAATAATTGATTATGCAAAGCAATTTAAAACTTTTTCTTACTCACAATTTTAAAGTGTCTTTTTTTAAACAAAATAAAGTTCATTTTGTTCATGCTTTAACTGGATCAAAAAATGGAGGGAAAACATCAAAAAATTAATTTTTAATTACGACACAAATTTCAGTGCAAAAAGGGTCATTTAAACGCCAAAAGAAGCGTATTGACCCCCCCATTTTTTGATTTAAATTTTAATTAAGCTATTTATGTAGAAACTAAGAATATACTTGGCAAAAAAAAGGTTTAGACTTTAAATATCAGGATCGAACGTCGTCTAAAACACATAGCTAGATTACCATAAAATTGAAATGAAACACATTCGCAAAACTGATAATATGTAGAAAGACATTAAAAGTTTTGCACGTTAAAAGGTTTTGAAGAATTATCTACCCTTGATGAAAAGAAAGCAATTTTTAATTTTTCCTTAGTAAATAATTTATTTTATTTCATATTTGAATAAAGACGGAATTAATGCATAATTTCACAATGAGATTATTTTGAAAAATTCAAATTACATTTTAGCTCACCTGAGCCGAAGGCTCAAGTGAGCTTTTCTGATCACATTTTGTCCGGCGTCCGTGTGTCCGTCTGGTCTGTCTGTCTGTAAACTTTTCACACTTTCGACTTCTTCTCAAGAACCCCTGGGCCAGTTTCAACCAAACTTGCCACAAAGCACCCTTAGAGGAAGGAAATTCAACTTTGTTCAAATGAAGGGCCATGCCCTCATTCAAAGGGAGAAAGTTTGGAATTTATCAAAATTTGGTGGTATGTTTTAAAAATCTTCTTTTGAAGAACCGCTGTGCCAGGAAAGATAAAACTTATGGTGAAACATCCTCATTGTAGATTCAAGTTTGTTCAAATCAGGACCCCTGGATGTACGGCGGGGTCACAATGGCGGACCAATGTTAAACAAAGAAATATATAGGAAAATTCTTAAAAAATCTTCTCAAGAATAACAAAGCCATGATTGATCATATTTATATGGAAGCATCCTCAGGTAGTTGTTATTCAAGTTTGTTCAAATCATGACCCCCGGGGGTAGGGCGGGGCCACAATGGCCGACTAAAGTTTTACATAGAAATATATAGGAATATTCTTTAAAAATCTTCTTCTCGAGAATAATAAAGCCATGATTGATCATATTTATATGGAAGCATCTTCAGGTAGTTGTGATTCAAGTTTGTTCAAATCATGACCCCCGGGGGTGGGGGGGGGGCACAATGGCCGACCAAAGTTTTACATAGAAATATATAGGAATATTCTTTAAAAATCTTCTTCTCAAGAATAACAAAGTCATGATTGATCATATTTATATGGAAGCATCCTCAGATAGTTGTGATTCAAGTTTGTTCAAATCATAACCCCCCGTGGGTAGAGCGGGGCCACAATGGCCGACCAAATTTTTACATAGAAATATATAGGAAAATTCTTTAAAAATCATCTTGACAAGAATAGCCAAAACAATAACAGTTCAAAGGTTTACTTTTGGATTTAAAATTATCAATAATAAACCAATTTCTACTTTTTCCTAGCCATAGTGCTCAGGTGAGTGATTTGGCCCATGGGCCTCTTGTTACAATATATGATAAAAGTATACGCTGCCTATAGATGTCAATATAAAATTCAAGGTGCAATAAATTGGACAATAATCACAATCTTGTAAATTCCTTTCGTAGAGACGTTTTATTTGATAACATATTCAAAATGCTACCATGATTAACAATATCGGATCATTCATTTATTTGATACAAATATGGTTGTTATAAATTGAATACCTTAACCTGGGATAATCTCACATTTCAATCGTTTTGTAAATATTTCACGAAGACGCCAAGATATTTAATTTTCTTATTTAAAATACCTTTCCATGGAAAAACCACGACAGAACTTGGATCCGAATGCACTCAATATAATTATCCTTGGCTTTGTAAACTTAGACAATGTATTTTTCCACAAGAGAAATCAAATACTCGTAGGTTTAAAAGTGTTTATTCATGCAAAAGTGCTTTGTATGAGTTATATGTGTAATTCTAGATGCCCCAAAGAAGTAACAAAAGCGAAAAAAAAATATCTGTCCAGTTTAAATTCCACTTACTTAAAATTACAAACAAGTACATGTAAGACAAAGATCAGTTATAAAATAAAGTTTCAATAACATAATTTTAAATTTCGTATCCAATGCAGATTATCTAGTCCATTTTTTGACCACTGAGAATATTTTCCACTCCTTCCATTCGGAAGTGAACAATAAAGTGTTTGCTTTCATAATTTAAGTACGGGTCTCTGTAAGAATCAGACAATATGTGTATAAAAGTGAATCATGAGGGTTCTTAGAATTCGATGATTTTACACACATAGGTTTCTCTTACCCTATGAACCACGTATGTAAAATGAAAATTATTTTGGGTCCTGGTTACTATGGAAACATGGCCAAAGAAATTTTCCCTAGCAACCGGTCAATTTTCCATGTTTATGGACAAATATATCACTAAACTTAGAGGCTTGAAATTGAATGTGAATATTACCAGAGGAGTTCTTAAATAATGTTATCATAAAGATAAACATTTCAAGTGATAAAATCATGTAATACATACAATTTTTATTTTAAGATATTTCTTTTACGGGAAATGGAAGATATGCATGTTTTGCATTTTTTGCTGATTCAGCATTTTTGTTAATTTGGGCAATTTTCAAGGCCATATATCTCAAACTTCTTGCACAATACAAGAGTATGGTATATTTTACATAACGGCAGAGGAATATCCTTTTTGGAATTTAAATTCAAAAACGTGTGTTTTTTAATATTTACAATCGGTTGCCTAGCAACAAAAATGGATGTTTTGATTAAGAGAAAGAGACAAATTGACAAATATGCGAGCTATTTATGGAATTAAATCTTATCGGTGGATACCAAAATCAATTTTTAAAGTAAAAACATATTCCTGAGACTTCTATATGAATCCAGGAATATTTTGCAAGTACTTATCGCCATAGTAACAGAAAATTCCCCATAGCAACAAAGAAAATAAATCCACTTTTGACATGCACTCATATATGTTAGTAAAGATTATTCAGTGTTTGACAGACCACAGAGATTTAAGAGCATCAGTACATTTTTTGTACTTTATTAGTCCCCAACCCGTGAAACTGGAGGGGGCTAAAGGTTTCCTCTGAGTCTGTCCGCCGGTCTAGCTGTACCTATGTCTGTCTGTAAGTCTGTTCTACTTGGGTTTCCACACTTATTTTCTAAATGCTTGCAGATATTGAGCTGAATTTCGGCATGTTAGTGTATCTTGGTGAGTCACAGATCAAGTTTGAATGTCGTTACGCTTCATTGATTTTTGATAGATTTAAGGCGTTTTAATTTTTTTTTCATAATGGTTTAAGATCGGGTTCGTGCTGCGCTAAATTCCAAAGGTCAACATGGTAAACATGAACTATGATGAAGCCAAAAGAAGATGTTAAAAAAATGAGTTGAATTTCCGTCTTTATATTTTTTAGATTAAAGGCATGCATAACCTCAAAATTTTAACATCAGACACTTTTACCATGGTCATAACTTTTGCATATTATAAAATGACATTCTAGAGAAAAGGGGGAAACAGGTAGGGGGCATGCCACAGGCACCTGAAGTATGGATAATACCCCCCCCCCCCCTTTTTTAATGAAAAAAAAATGTAAGAGTGTATAATACCTCAAAAATATAAAATTTCCCCGTCAAACACATCTATATGTCGTTATATGCAAGCAGATTGTACTTTTTCTCACGTTTAAAGAATGGCCCTATTCGGTATAATAAAGAAACAAAAGTTG